TCTCTCTCTCTCTCTCTCTCTCTCTCCATTTCATTCTACCTTTTCTCTGTCCCTATTTCTTTCTTGTTGGTATTTTTAACTTCATTTCCCAGTATCGCTTTATCCACTTATATCTATATTTCATTTGTTAGTTTATCCTCTGTATCTAATAAGGTTACTATACGTATTTAGTTTGTCTAACTTTGATTAAAATTATACAATGTGTCACTAATCATTTAACAGCAATGCAGACCACTATTTACATAAGATTTGAAATGCCGGCGTCTGTGGTATAATGGTTAGACGCTCGCTTCGCCGTCCCACACAGCAACAATGACAACATCTAAAACAACAACAACAACCACAACATCAATAACAACATTGACGACAGCAGCGTTGGCTAACAAAGAGCAGTAGCAACAGCAGCAGCAGTATCAGGCACCAAATAAAATAAACCCTTTTATAAAGTAAACTAATTTTTTCTCATTTGCATATTTCAACAGATCACGACCGAAGGTGTCCATGTGGTCATAGCTCTGAACGCGAAGGGCTCCGGGGCTCTTATTAGTCCAAAGGACAAATCCTACACCATCACCAATTATTATGAACCGAGTAAGTTAAATTAAACTTACATTGAAATAATTATTTGTACAAGGCCTTCGGACTCGCAACTGGAAGGTCGTAGGTGGGACCGAAGACCTTCAGTGGCCCGGCTTTGTATTCTTGGGAAAGCACTTTACACGAATTTTCCTCACTACACCCGGGTGGAATTGGTTATCCGCCTACGGACAGCGAAGGACCTTATTTGTCATTTTGTTAGTGTTTGAGCACGTCTAAGCCGTAGCTTGCGTTGTATACTTCCCGGGAAACCGTGAATGTTTCTCGGTGTTCTAGGGTCTGCTGGGGTAAATATAGTTGTCAGGCGCATAGAGCATGTTGTAGAGCGTGGATATGCGCTTTATAAATGCAATTTTTTTATTATTATTATTGTAACGTGTAAGCTATAATATGATTTTTTACATAGCCTACGTGTCCATGGCACCTGGCTGGTAGGCTACTTTTACCTGTCAAAAACCTATTGATACCTTTAAATACAACTTCTGCTTCACACACTGAAAGCATTTTTATTCCAGCGCAACTTCTGAAATGTGGTGTGCGATACTCAAAGGTCTAAGGGAATCAAATTGCTCAAAATATGAATACTAAGCTCCATTGGTCAACCTGACTACAATATGCCACAGCAGTTGCGTGGCTTATGGACATGAATCCCCTCCAGATCAATAGATGCAATAAGCTGTAAAGATTGTGCTTTTGATTTATAGGGGCCATAACGTTATCTACAATTTGTATTTCGGTTGTTTGGGGGGGGGGGGTTGTTTTTTGTTGTTGCTGTTTAAGTTTTGTTTGGTTGTTTTGGAGGGTTGTTGTTGTTGTTTTTTTGCTTTTGTTTG